CATCACATGTGAAATCATGAATGGCGTCATTTGTTTACTAGCACTAAAAAAATTAGCCTAAACTATCTTATCACCTAGCCCTAAAACTAACCCTAACTTAGGCCGAACACTTAATCATGTGATGTGATGTCCACGAAAATATCACTGGGTTCCTTGTTCTTGAAACTACCCTTAATAAATTTCATCAAAATCCTGCAAATTCAGCACAAAAATAATAAATGATATCAAATTTATTTTTCGGTACATTTTAAACAATATCATTTACTAAAACATTAAATGCCCCACGCATGCACTTAAAAGTATCTTGTTTTTATAACGATCACCCGAACTTGTAATTTATTTAAATTATAAAAGCTAGGTATAAATTTCTACAAAGCATTTTCGCCTTTTGCTTTATTTTATATGACTACATTATGAATAACGATAGTATATATAATTTTTTTTATACAATAGAATCTAATTCGGAACATTTGCCCAGGCCTTACAAAAATCGCATTGTAATTAGCGGTTCCCTCTCACTTCATCGACAATTATTTCACTTAGTCGACATTATTTCAAGTGAAACCATAACATATGATATCAGCTAAACGTGCTATCGGTGGAATGATTGTCGATGAAGCCAAAAAATTTTCACATTTGTAATACAATTATCTTGTTTCATGATTAATATATCAGTTACGATATATTCATCTGCAAGACATTTTTATCTTTTCATCTATACATGTATTAGTTTTTCTTTATTAACTAAAGATTTAAAGCCATTCTCTGAACCACAATTTAAAAAAGAATTTTTTACATCAACGATTCCTTGGACTTTGCTTTTTATTATAATGATTAGTATATTATTTAGATTCATTATGGTTTTCCTTATTGTTTTAACTGGTAAACAATTTATCTATCCTTCTCTTGTCCCTGAAGTATTTAAATCGCTTATCTCATTAGCATTATTACGACCCATCTCTCACTGCGAGTCTCATGCAATAGATGAGTGGTATGCTGACCATTCTAAACGTATAAGACTGATTATTTACGAAGATAGACCTGCACTCAATCACTGTGATATGGATCTGAAAAAAAGAGCTGATCTTGATGGCAGTGTTACAGAAGATGTTGACGCCTACAATTTTGCAATTTATTTATTGCTCGAGATGAAATTTTTTACAAACAGAATTACTACTAATGCAACAAAAGTCCCAGTGTAACCCCAAATTGAGGGCGCAATCACATGATATTTCAACCTTACAATTCTCCGAAAAATTTTCAAAAATTTTTCTAACTTTATTTTTTGTGTTTTCAATCCTTTTTTCTTTATTATTATTATTATTATTTGAATATTAAAATTTTTGGAAGCTTTCTTATTGTTTTTTAAGAGACAAAGCTACTACTATTGTCTCAAATAAATAGAGGAACGTATTCTAAACATAAACTTGATTGATTTAAAATGAATTATAAAGCTTGAAATAAATTGTAATGATTGTGCACCGAATATACAAAAATCTACACTTCCCGAATCCAACTAATATAAATTTAAAATTTATGTCCAGGATTCTTTAATAAAGAATTTTGTTATAGTAAGCTCGACTGTAATAAACGAACTAATTCGTGAACCAACTTTACATAAATAAAATAATTCGAGCGAAACCATAAGAAATTGTAGAACTCTAAAATATATTCACAAGTTAAGATAACAAAAAAACTAGTCTGTTCAAATACAACACACTCTTGTTATAGCGAACTTTTGGTATATAACGTTGAGGTATTGTTTAACCACTAGGTTACCCAGATATTCGGATTACAAAATTGGTTAACGGAT